GTGCACCAGGTGCAGGGCCGAAAGAGGCCCAGACGCATGTTTGCGCCTTGCTGCATCAGCAGCACGGTCTGGGCACCCGGTAGGGGCCCTGACCGTGCGGGCAGTTTGAGGCCACGCTGCAGCTCACCCCAGTAGGGCCCAGCGCTGTATATAGCTGGGCCACGGCCTGGGCAGACACACAGTTCGGTAGCTCACTTCTTGAACGACACGCTGCTGGTTTAGCGCTGCGCTGCGAGGTTGGAAGTAGAGGATAGCAAGGGAGAGGGGCGGAGGCCATACCTGCAATAGGGGGACTTACCTGGCACCATAGTTGGGACTCCCCGCACACGCCACCTGTACACAACGACGATCAACAGTCAGTACGGCGGCGCCCACCTGCAGGTGAGACAGCGAGGAAGACGACATCTTCTCCTTCTTCTTCGGTCTCCCTCTCGTCCTCCTTCCTCCTTCCCTCTTCTTCTTCTTCTTCTTCTTCTTCTTCTTCTTCTTCTTCTTCAGATAAAGAGAGAGAGAGATTACAGGCAGAGGATACAAGCAGAGGTTACAGTGGGCATATCACCCGGGATCTGTTCCGACATTTTTGAGGCAGACATTGATTGGACATTCGGCAAGGGACTATTTTTGGACTTCGTTATCGCAATCTTGGTCTCCTCCCTCGCCTCCTTCTTCGTCTCGCCTTTCCCCCCATCTCTCATCCGCGGTATCTCCCCCATGTGTGTGGTCAAGGAGGGACCTTTCTTCTATGTATGCAGGTCCCTCCTCCTCTCTCACATGTGTGATGTATGATGGGATGTCGCGTCAGTCCTAGTCAGGTCAGGTCTTATCTTTGAGTCTTCCACTGCGCTACTTTGTGCCATTTTGTATGTATCGGGATGTACATTGCTTGTTGATGTTTCACTGACATTGCATTGTCCACTCAGTCCTTTTCATCACATTGCAGATCATTGGCTTCATACACATTGCCCAACTGGGCATGTGTCAACAAGACTCGATCCTCATACCTTCCCCAGCCCACTGTATAGTCAGTCGCCCATTGACCCTGTGTTTTGAACCCGCGACCTGTCCCTAAAACCGTGTACAAATGTTTTGTGTGTGTAGCTTGGGGCGTGTGGACTTGATCCATAGGTTAGCTCTTTAGGAGTCCCGAGGGTCGTCTGTAAGTCCTCTGAAGGGTCACTACGTCGTGGCTAGAACAGTCCTCGAAGAGTCAACTTGACCTTTTGTAGGCTGAAAGGGCAGTTCGTCGATCTCTGAAAGGTCAAGAGTCCCAAGTCAAACACCGAAGGGGCAAGCGACGGGCCAGTCCAATGCAGCAAGTACCAGAGTGGGACTGCACATCTTGAGGGCCTGGGACATCGGGGTAGGCCCAGACCACTAAACGAAACAGTATAAATAAAGAGGCAGCGATCACTCATTCACTTATTATCTGGGGAATTACGTGGAAGCGCTGCCAGAGTGACTTGTGCGTTGAGTTCGCCGGTGGTCAGCAAAGTTACATGCTGCACCTGCAACAGGCTGCACGGGCCCCTTTCAGGCCCGTGACGTTTTCAGGCCAAAAGCCTGAAAACAAGGGCCTACAGGCCCTGTGTCGTTTCAGGCTAAATCAGGGCCTTTCCGGCCCTGAGTGTTTTCAGCCTGAAACTGAGGGCCATTTTCAGGCCCTCATCAGTTCGACCCGCCCTGAAACTCGGGCAACAAACCAGGGTTTTAGCACAGGCCATTTCGGGCCTGGTTTCAAGACAACCCCTGGTTGAGCTTCAACGCCAGGGTCTGGCACGTTTTGGCATTGGCAAGAGCAGCCTCCTGGACGGGCCAGCACTATATAGGACTGGCCCGCCCTGCAGGCCGGTAGGTAGTTCCTAGGTACTTTCCAGGCACTTCACGTGCAGTTCAGGAGGCAGGAGGTAGTCTTCAGGATTCGGCAGCAGCACTCTGGAGGAGCGCTGCAGGAGTAGTAGTAGCGCTAGCAGTAGTCTTCAGCGCTGGGCGCTAGTAGCGTTAGCGCTAGCCTTCAGCGCTGGGCGCTCTTAGGAGCTAGAGTAGTACTAGAGAGGGAGAGTTTGGGCGGAGGTGTTACATGCTGCGCCTGCAACAGGCTGCACGGGCCCCCTTTGAGGCCCGTGACGTTTTCAGGCCAAAAGCCTGAAAACAAGGGCCTACAGGCCCTGTGTCGTTTCAGCCTGAAAGCCTGAAAACAAGGACCTACAGGCCCTGTGTCGTTTCAGGCTAAATCAGGGCCTTTCCTGCCCTGAGTATTTTCAGCCTGAAACTGAGGGCCATTTTCAGGCCCTCATCAGACCGACCCACCCTGAAACTCAGGCAACAAACCAGGGTTTTAGCACAGGCCATTTCAGGCCTGTTTTCAAGACAACCTGTTACATACTCGTGAGAATATCAACGAGTATGGGGCAGAACCAAAGATCAACCAATATAGGATGAGCATGTATGCAGCGGAAGTCTGATAAACGGACTGACTCACATAGACTGACTCACATAGATATCACTCCACACACATACAATCGTGAGATGGTGGGGTCTGAACCATACATGGAAGATGTTCAAGCCCCATACACACATACACAGATGAAGGTGGGAGGAGAGATGAAGAGGTGAGGGAGTTAGACAGCACCGTAGGTCACCGAGATAGAATCCGATAGGTCACCGATATGGTAGTCCAAAATGTCATCAAACAAGATCAAAATGTCGAGGACAATAAGTCACCAATGTCGGAGATACAGAGTCCTAATGTAAACRGTGTCCGAACTGTGATGCAGCCGAGTATCAACCCCAACAATCTCCAAGTCTCGAATCCGGTAAGTACCACAGCCTCTTACCACCGAAGTCCAATACTGATCTCTGTCCAACTAGTATGAAGTCTCCAATCTGAAGAAGAAGAAGAAGATGTCTGAAGAAGTAGAAGAAGAAGTCTGAAGAAGAAGAAGAAGAAGTCTGAAGAAGAAGAAGAAGAAGAAGAGAGTCGAGGAGGAGAGAGAGAGAGAGGGGACTGGCGAATGGGAGGGAGGAGAGAACCTCCAGCTCCCGATACCTCAGGCGGCTATGGCCGCCGATCTTGCTCAGTCGCCGCTGCTGCTGCTCCGATCGCTGCCGCTGCTGCGATACCGCTGCCGCTGCTGCTCCTCGTGCTCCTGCGCTAAGAATAGCGCTAGCGCTCTGGCGCTAACCATAACGCACCGCTAAGTTGCCGGTGGTTCGATCCCGGACTGAGGCTGGACCGGTACTTTTGTACCGGTGGGGCAGAGGCCGGCCTCTATGCTGCGAGGCCTGGCCGTGACCTGAACCGTAAAGATCGATGGTTCAGCCCCAACCGGCGGGCGGCAGCCTCAAGAGCGCCGCCAGGCCCAAACGGTAATGTCGTTTGCGCCTGCCCGTCGGGTCTGGTCCAAGATGAGGCCTTTACGGCCTGTAGTACCCCCAAGGTCGGGCCTTTAGGCCCTACTGTGTCTCTCTGGCCTGAAGTCGGGTTCGGTAGGACCCGTGTGGCGTCGAACACACTCCCCCTCTTAAAAGACCGAGCTACCTGCGAGGGCGAAGTTGTCTGTCCGATACCGGGATGGGTCGGGTGGGACGAGCTGCTTCCTTGGCAAGGCGTCGCTTCTCATAGTCGGCGAAGATAACGGGTGCAGAAGTCTGCAAGTCTGCACTAGAGATCCACCGAGTGTCGTCAGGCGCACATTGCTTGAATGTGACTTTGAATTGCATTGGCTTGTTGCCATACTTGCGGTGCGTGATGACTCGGTCGACTTCCTGATGTCCGTCCATAGAAGGCGGATCCTGTGATCGACGGCTGGGAAACTCGTCGGCGGAAGGTGGCGTGTAGATGGCCAGCTTCGACGCGTGGAAGACCCGGTGCACTGGAAGGTGCGGAGGAATGTTGACCACAAAGGAAGGACCTGCGGGGTCGTCTCCAACGGCAGAAGTGACTTCCCATGGTCCGAACCATTTCGGAAAAAGTTTGCGCGAAACGTCCTTCTCGAGCGCAAATTCCTCGGAGTGGATCCAAACAAGGTCTCCCTCGCGAAAAGGACATGGAAGTCGGCGTCGGTTAGCCTGCTGCTGCATGCGGATCTGAGACTTTTGCATATTCGCGCGGGCTTTGATCAGCAAGTCCCGGTACTTCCGAACGGAAGCGGGAGAGCAAGGGACGTCTATGTCGGCAGCCTGTGGCAAAAGGAGATCAGCGAAGATCCGTGCTTTCTCTCCACCATGATGTAGCT